TACAGTCAGTCCCTGAGGTGAGGAGGTGATGACAGGAGCTGAGATGGAGAAAGTTGGGGCTCATTCTGAACTTGATACCTGACAGACAGTGTGACATCAAGACCCCAAGTTATATTGGGTCCACAAAATAAAAAATGGCTGTGAGTCCCACTTCTAGATGGTCAGGTCACTGCTGATGTCACTTCTGGCATCCAGTGCTGATTATCTCGCTTCATGAGCACATGTGCAAGAAGTCAGTCAGTCACAGCAGAAGAGTAGTGTGGGTTTAGTGCAGCTGCCATACTATAAACAGACTCGTGCTGTAACGATTTGCATTATAATGGGGTTGGACTTAAATATTGTACTGTATTTCTGTCAGCTCAGAGCGAATTGTAGACATCTAATTGTGTCGACAATTTGAGAAAAGCCTCTGTTTTTGGACACCCAATAAGCATCCAATTTATAAATGTACAGCGAGTTTTGATCTCGGACCGTTTAATTACCCGTCTCTGTCTATCTGTGGATTTCCAGCGTCTGTTTTTATTTTGCAGTTGCAAATTTTAATTTACTAACTTACCGTAGTTACTTAAATCAAAAGTCCTTGCTAAGGCATGGGCAGATTTTAGAGTTTTTTTGGGGGGGGGGATAAAGGAATTTTAAGACATACTCTTTATTCACAGAAACCAAGCACTTTCTTTTAAAAAAAGAGCAAAAAAAAGACTAGTTCCCCTCTGCCTTTTGTTCTCTGTCTCTTTCACTTTTTCACTCTCTATTTTTCTCTCTGTCTCACTCTATCACTCCGACTTTATTTTCTTACTCTTATCTCTCTGATGTTTTTGACTGTGAGTGTGTCTGTATGTGTCTCTTCACCCTATCTGTAACTACACCATACCTATTACAAATTGGGAATATGATCTTCTGTATAATAAAACCACAATGTCTGTCTGCGTTTCAGGAAGGATCTCAATAACTGATTGATGCAGAGACATGATTTATACCTAATCGGAAAGGTCTTGCATCTGGCAGTGACATGGGCATATTTGTTTTCGGGTATCTCCTATCGTTATTTCAGTCTTGCATTTTTCGCTGCAGTTACACCTGGTGGCCGCCAAGTCAAAGTAGCACTGTGGTGGGGCGGGTGAGATGGGTGATATGCAGCAGGCTGGAGCCCACTGAGCGGAGGGAGTGAGCAGGTTGGTAGAAGGATAGGAGGTCGCAGAGGTAGATATGAGCAAGTCCATGGAGGGCTTTGAGGGTGAGGACCAGGATTTTGAACTGTATGCTCTGTGTGATGAGAAGCCAGTGGAGTCGAGCAAGGATGGGGGTGATGGGGTCACGGAGATTGGTGTGGTAGAGAACATGGGCTGCAGAGTTTTGGATGATCTGCAGCCTATGGAGGGAGGAGTTAGGAAGGCTGACAAGCTGGGGGTGTGCGTAGTCGAGCTTGGATGTTATGAGGGTTTCGGTGGCCTGCGGTGTGAAACAGTGGTGGAGCCGGGCAATGTTGCGGAAGTGAGGCAAGGTGGGACATGGCACAGATGTGGGGTAGAAAGGATAGTTGAGGGTAAAACAAGATGCCAAGGTTCTGGACTGGCATAGTAAGGTGGAGTGTGCATCCTTGGATGGTGCACACTCCACCAAAATAAAGAGCACAGACGAAGCTAAGCCATGACAACAATAGCAAAATTACATTTTTAAAGCGTCGAGTCCTCCCACTGAGTCCTTTCAGATGACTATAGATAAAGGTGAAATGTGTGTCTGTCTGCATGTCAATCTATATTCCATATTGATCCTTTGGTTGCAAGCGTAGCTGCAACGGGTATAGCTAGTAATAAATAAAAGTATTCCTTTCATTTGATATAGTATCTTTTTACAGTGAGAGTATGTCTTGAAGCGCAGGATATACTGTAAAGTGGAATAGCTGTGTATTTTGTAGGTGCACATAGCAACAATATCTCACAAACAGATATGAAGTGAATGACCAATTTTATTTAGGGAATTGTTGGCGAGGATACTTGTAGAAACTCTCTATTCTTTGAATAGTTTAATGAGATCTTTAATGTCTGCCTCATCAAACAGATGGGACCTAGGTTTGACATCTCATCTGAAGGATGGCATCTCTGACAATGCAGCACTCCCTCAGCACTACACTGGAGTCTCAGCTAAGACTGTGAATTTCAAATTCTGACATGGGGACATTCTAACATTCTGAACAAAAGTTGCATTTGTATAGCGCCTTTCACATCGGTAGGATGTCCCAAGGCCCTGGATAATGGGGGTTAGAATCAAGCGGGGTGGAGGTGGGAGGAATGATCAAAGGTGTGGTCAAAGAGCAAGGTCTTGAGACGGGCCTGGGAGGCAAGGGAGTGGGCGAGAAAGAGGACTTGGAGTTCTAGAGGATGGGGGTAGAGAAGCTGAAGGCCCCACCCCCGATGGTGGAGTGGGCAGGGTGGGGGACGTGGAGCAGGCCAGTGTCTGCCAAGTGGAGGGAGCAGAACAGGGTGATAACGTTTTAATAGATCGCAGCAGGAGAGAGAAGCAAGACCATGGAGGGCTTTAAAAGGGAGGGCGAGAATCTTGAACTTGATCCTTTAGGGGAGGAGAGATAGTGAAGCCGAGTAAGGGTGGGAGGGGTGATAGGCTCATAAAGCTTAGTGCGGGAAAGGACATGAGCTGCAGAGTTCTGAATAATCTGCAGCTTGTGGAGGGAAGAGTTGGGAAGTCCAGCAAGCAGGGAGTTAGCATAGCCAAGCCTGGACGTACCGAAAGCACGGATGAAGTTCTCGGCAGCCTTAGGGGAGAGGAAGCGGCGAAGCTGGGCAATGTTGTGGAGGTGGGGGAAGTTAGAGTGAATCAAGGCACAAATGTGGGATTTAAAAGACAGTTGAGGTTCGAACAAAACACCAACGTTCCTTACTGGCCCAGTGAGGTGGAGAGTACATCCATGAATAGTGATACTAGGAGGCATCCTTGGGAGACAAGCAGGAGGGCCTCAATCTTGTCGACATTCAAATGGAACCCACGATTTCTGACTCACAGGCGAGAGTGCTATTAACTGAGCCAGGCTGATTCGCAATCGTGCAGCTTGGCTAAAATTATGTGCGTGGGAACCTTGCAGTCATGTTCGCAATTCCTGACATCGGGGCCCTTTATGTGTATTTCAAGCAGTCTGACACGCTGTCTGGTGTGAAGGGCGCTATATAAATGCAAGTTGTTGTAACCCTTAATTTTGTGGCCGCTTATCTGAAGAAGCAGGTGAAGCTTACAAATTGTAAGGCGCCATCGATTTTAAAGCGTCATGATTTTAGAGGTAACTTTCAAATTCTGACATGGGGCTTGAACAACACCAACAAATTGTATTTATACAGCTTCTTTCACGTCAAGCGGATATCCTAAGGCACTGGACAGTGAAGGTGTGGGAATCAAGTGTAGGGGGGGGTCGAGGTTGGAGCCCAGTCAAAGAGGAAGAATTTTTGGCATTAAATCTAGAAGAGCATCAAAAGCTTTGAAACCACCAACATAGATTGCTGCAGAACCAATTAAGCTGTCAAGCTGCAACTAAAATAAGTTTGGTCTTTTATCTGAAAGTGAAGCCATAGCAGAGGAATGGCTTAACCTTTACTTGCATTTTAGGATTGCAAAATGGTGCAAGGGATGTTTTTATGGTTAATCTACTTGAGAATATCAAATTTCGGACTTAATAGTTCCTTCCTCAGGGACAACTTCCCCTTTTTATTTTGTTTTTACATGTCTATAAAATGTTGAATGACACCCGCATTCACACTTAGGCAAAATGAGGTGAAATTATTCAAAATGAACGGTCACATAATTGGAATCGTGACTTGTGGGGAGTGTTTTATTGTTGGAGATGCTGGTCCTCAGATTAGAAATGAAACTAAGATCCCGACAAATGTACAATCGCTACAATCAACGTAAAACTTTCAGAGGCACTTTGAGATAATAAATAATAATCCTTGCATTTGATATAGCGCTTTTCACGTCGGGAGGACGTCCCAAAGCGCTTCACAGAACACACTGTAAAGTGAATTGACTGCATATTTGTGGGCGAACGCGGCAGCCAATTTGCGCACAGCAATGTCCCACAAACAGTCGTAGATTGAAAATGACCAATTTAATTATTGTTTTTTTTTTGAGGGATTATTATTAGGCGTGTGGAGTAAGGAAACTTGCCCAAGGTTTCGCCCTGCCTGGAATTGAACTCAGGTCTCTCACTTGCAAAGCGAGTGCTCTAACCACTGAGCTACAGGACTCCACTAATATGAAATGCAAGGATTGATATTAATAATACTAATAAAGGGATAAAAAAATGCAAGATTTGTTTGTTTAATTGTCATTTAAAAAAAACACTTTATAAAAAAGTGCCTTGAAACTGTTGAAATAAAAAGACTTACACAGACCATTTACTGGTGAATTGGATGAATATGCAGTGAGGTGACTAGTCTCATGGCTTCTGGAACCTCTGTCAGGGTTTGAATCTTGCTCTGGCATTGTGTCCTCACACTTATAACACGTTGTGTACTATGTTACCTCATTGCTTGAACCTGGGGTGACTTGCAGAAACCCATCACCATGCTTAAGAGTATCCAAACCAGACTGGAACACAATGTACCGTGTTTGGAATGGAATGCGCACACTCTTCATGGAGAGATGCGTCCTACTTTCCTAATTCCAGTGAGTATTAGGTTGGCAAGAGCAAAGGCTTGAGGACCACAGAGTGTGTGATGGGATTACTGCTGGAGTTTAATCAACTGAAACTGCGAAGTTTGCCAGTGAAAATACTGTCTGGCAAGCTTTCCTGTTGCTTGTTTAGCTACCCTTTATGGCTTTGGCTTGCAGGGTTACCAGGAGCTAAGCAGGAAGAATCGTTTACAACAATGTACGACTTTCATGTTTTTAAAAAAAAATCTTGATACATTTTGAGAGGGGCCTGAGAATAGAACCCTGGTCAGGTCAGATACTCTGCTGCTATCTTGGTGTTATCCCAATAACTTTGTTTTCAGGCGAAGAACAGACAGACGATGATGTATTGGTTACAGCAGCTGCAGCAGAAACGCTTCGACAGACAGAGGAGCCTGCGCATCGGCAGCCTCACAATTTCCAGGGAACAGTCCCTGTCGTCATCGGCATCTGCAGGTAAATCAAAGCAGGCCGGACTTGCAACACTGGATGTGAAATAGATCTTAGCAATAGGGCATAACCCAGACCAGTTAGGGTTAGAGATTCCCAGACTGGAAGAATGAGATTACAATAGATTACAAATCCATTCACACCATGTTAAAAGTGAATAGACAGCACTCTGAATCCCAGGGATTGTAGGTATGATTCATCATGATTGACACAGTGGAACCACGAAGGGGTTGAATACCCAGACTGTAAGCCCTGGAATAGAATATTCTGTATATCCTATAGGACAGTGTTAACATCTTAGCTATATTTTCTGCCAAAGTATATTGAAATTCAAATAGTGGAGTTAAAAAAATAATACTTGTATTGTTCCAACAACAACAAGATTACATTTGTATAGCGCCTTTCATGTCGGGAGGACGTCCCAAGGTGCTGGATAGTGTACAGCATTTCAGACCCGAGCTGGGGTCAGCGGGGGAGAAGGGAGGGGAGGAGAAGAGGGGTGGCCGATGCCATGGTCGAAGAGGAGGGTTTTGAGGTGGGACGTGAAGGAGGCTAAGGAGCTGGAGTGATGGGGGGATGGAATTCCAGAGGATGGAGGCAGAGTGGCTGAAGGCTCTCCCACCAATGGTAGGATGGGGGGTTGGGGGACGTGGAGCAGGCCAGAGCCGGCTAAGCGGAGGGAGTAGGCGGGTTGGTAGGAGGTTAGGAGGTCGCAGAGGTAGGGTGGGGCGAGACCATGGAGAGCTTTGTAGGTGAGGACCAGGATTTTGAACTGGATCCTCTGAAGGATAGGGAGCCAGTGGAGTCGGGCGAGAATAGGGGAGATGGGGTCATGGAGTTTGGTGCGGGAGGGGACACGGGCTGCAGAGTTCTGTATTATCTGCAGTCTGTGGAGGGAGGAGTTGGGAAGACCGACAAATAGGGTGTTTGCATAGTCGAGCCTGGAGGTGATGAAGGCATAAACAAGAGATTCAACAGCCTGAAGGGTGAGGTAGTGGCAGAGTCGGGCGATGTTACGGAGTTGAGGGAAGGCAGAGCGGGTCATGGCTTGAATGTGGGGAAGAAAAGGCAGTTGAGGGTCGAACAAGACACCGGTTCCTGACTGGCTTGGTGCGTTGGAGTGTATGGAGGTTGATGCTGCCAGGACCTGAGGTGCAGAGGCGCTGACGCGAGCCAATCATGAGGGCCTCAGTCTTGTTCACATTCAACTGTAGGAAATTTGCCTGCATCCAGGACTTGATGTCTGACAGCCAGTCTGTCAGGACAGCAGTGGTCCTGGATTTGAGGGTCATCCGCATACATATGGAAGTTGATCCCATGTCTGCGGATGATGTCACCAAGGGGGAGCATGTAGAATTAAAGAGGAGAGGGCCAAGGACAGAGCCCTGGGGGACGGTGAGAGACATAGGATTCGATCCAGGCAAGGGCAGGTCCGTGAAGCTTGAGTAAAGCGGAGAGGTGGTGTATGAGGATGGAGTGGTCGACAGTGTCGAAGGCGGCAGAGAGGTCGAGGAGGACAAGGAAGCAGAGGGAGCCCTGATCACAGATGTTCAGAATGTCATTAGTGACTTTGACCAGGGCTGTTTCCTTGCTGTGGGCAGCACGGAAGCCGGATTGGAGGGGTTCAAAGAGGAATGGCGAAAGAGAAAGGAGTGGAGCTGGAACGCGACGACTCATTCCAGGACCTTTGAGAGGAACGGGAGGTTAGAGATGGGGCAGCAGCTGGAGAGGAGGGATGGGTTCAGGGAAGGTTTTTTCAGGATGGGGGTGATGACTGCTGTTTTTAGTGGGGTTGGAACTGAACCGGTGGAAAAGAAGAGGTTGATGACATCGGAAAGGAGAGGAGCCAGAAGGTGGAGCTGGGAGATGAGGAGAGAGGTGGAGATGGGATTGAGGGAGCAAGTGGTGGGTTTGAGTTTGCGAATGATGGCAGTGAGGGAGAAGGGAGAGATAGGCTCGAAGGAGTATAGGGAGCGATGGGTGGATCATGAGGGAGAGATGTTGTGAGAGTGGCTGTGGATGGGGTAGAGATGGCTGAACGAATCCCCTCGATTTTGGATTTGAGGAAGTCTAGCATCTCCTCACAGTTGGAGCTTGAGGAGAGGATGGGCGAGGCGTGGAAAGGTGGATGAAGGAGATGGTTTGTGGTGGAAAAGAGAAAGCCAGAGTTTGTCCTTTGCCTGCAAGATAATCTTGGACTAGAAGGAGGATTTGGCGGAAGCAAGAGCGCAGCGGTATAATGAAGCCAAATCTGCCGATGGACCGTTAGTTTGGATTTCGTCCAGGCGCGTTCGGCAGCTCACGCTTGTGCCTTGAGGGAACAGAGATGGCTGGTGTACCAGGGGGATTTACGGGAGAATGAGGCAGTTCAGGAGGTGAGGGGGGCAAGGGAGTCCAGAATGGAGGAGAGGGAGTTGTGGAGAAAAGAGAACAAAGAGGGTAGATCGGTCAGTGAGGGCCAGAGGTGTAGGAGTTCAAATGAATCCAGGGCAGTGGAGAGGGAGAGGGAGGAAATTTTTTTCCATAGACGGTATGTGATGGTGGAGGGTTGAGAAGGGGGAAGAGGTACGGAAGTGTTGAGGGAGATGGTGGTGGTCCGAAATGGCTTTGTCGATGATAGTGATGTCCAAGACTGTGAGGCCCTGAGTGATCACCAGATAAAGGGGGTGGCCACGGTCGTGGGTGGGGGAGTGGATGTGGAGGGAGAGGTTAAGGGAAGAGAGGGAGGAGAAGTCAGCAGGAGTAGAGCAGGAGGGGATGAAGTGGAGGTTGAAGTCGCCTAAGATTAGGAGGCGTTCAGAGCAAAGGGAGAGGGAAAATAGGAGGGTGGGGGAAGGTCAGGGTTAGTATTGTGTTGCTAGGACCTGGTAAGTCTTCAGCAAGGCAACTAGACTTCATCTAGAATCACATTTGGCAAGTCATAAATGTGTGGCGTGTTTTAACATGTCCACAGTGCAAGGTTTACACATGTGTAAGATTGCTATTTCTTGGAAACCAGTGTGACTGACAGCTGCAGTGTAAACCTGGACTACTACAACAACAAGAAGATTTCATTTATAGAGCGCCTTTCACGTCGGGAGGACGTCCCAAGGCACTGGACATTTGGGTTGGGACCCGAGCAGGGGGGAAATGGTCAGGGTGAAGGGAGGGAAGGGAGGGAGCGAGGAGCGGGTAGAGAGTCGAGAGGGGAGCTGAAGGCACGGTCGAAGAGAAAGGTCTTGAGACCGGCCTTGAAGGAGGAAAGGGAGGAGGCGGCGAAGGCACTGGGGGATGGAGTTCCAGAGCCTCGGGCTGAGAGGCTGAAGGCCCGACCACCGATGGTAGGGCGGTTGGGGCGGGGGATGTGGAGCAGACTGGAGCCAGAGGAACGGAGGGTATGGGCAGGTACGTAGGGGGATAGTAGGTCGGAGAGGTAGGAGGGCACAAGGCTGTGAATGGCCTTGTAGGTGAGGATGAGGATCTTGAATTCGATCCTCTGGGGGATGGGGAGCCAGTGGAGGCGAGCGAGGGTGGGAGTGATGTGGTCCCGAAGCCTGGTGCGGGACAGTACACGAGCTGCAGAGTTCTGAATGACCTGCAGCTTGTGGAGGGAGGTGGCGGGAAGGCCGACGAGGAGAGAGTTCCCATAGTCCAGCCTTGAGGTGATAAAGGCGTGGACCAGAGTTTCACTTGTTATCTTACTATCTTGTTCCACTGTGACAGTCATGGTGAATCATACCTACATTTCTTGGGATTCAGACTGCTTTCTATTCTCTTTTAACCCTGTGTGAGTGGATTTGTAATCTATTGTTGGCTTCCTCACACAAGCAGTCCTGTATGATCCTCATGCCTGCAGGCGTCCTCTTTTGAGAGTTGCATGTGGATTGTAGTCTTCTAACCCTAACTAACCTACTGTGGACCTTGCAATTTTTAAAAATGTTTCTTGTCTTCCCCCTCTCTGTTCCCTGCCTGCAGAGACAGTCCATGATTGCTTCACTTTATTGTGCTGACTTACAGTTGGTAATGTTACAAATTACTTTGGAAGCGATCACCTGATGACTCAGCGAGCAAATGCAAGACTTTGTGTTGCAATGAACCATCAGAGCAGGAAAATCCCCAATTCATTCCTTAGTCTTGTGCTGAGTTAGCTTATCGTGGGGAGTGGGGGTATGTGGATGTTCAGATCAGACTTGGCTCTGACGCAGATCCCACGGGCTGCTAGTTGGACCATCCTGTGATGGTTGCGGGCAGTGGTAATAAACAGTTCACTACTCGGTGAACTTCCAACAACAACACAACAACTTGTACTTATATAGCGTTGTCCACACAAGATAGCGTCTCAGAGCACTTAACCGTGGAGGAGCCTGACTCCGAGCTGGGGGGGGAGGGGGAGGTGGCTTTAAGCACGGTTTAAGAGGAAGGTTTTCAGGCAGGTCTTGAAAAGGGGAGAGAGGGGGCAAGGCAGAGGGATTGAGGGAGAGTGTTCCAGAGTTTTGGGGCATAGTGGCTGAAAGCACTACCTCTGCTGATGGGGCGGAGGGTGCAAGGGACAAGCAAGAGAGCAGTGCCAGTCGAGTGGAGGTGCCAGGTGGTGGATTGGGGATTGAGGAGGTCAGAGAGATAGGGAGGTGCCAGAGAGTGATGGGATTTGAACACGAGTGTGAGGTTCTTGAAGTCGATCCTTTCAGTGATGGGGAACCAGTGGAGCCTGGCCAGATCTGGTGAGATGCGGGTATGGAGTTTGGTCTGAGAAAAATACATATTAAAGAAACTAACCCTTCTTTCACTCAGAAACAAATGAGTTTTTAGATCCTGTGAAAACTCCGACAGGCCTGGTTGGAGAGGAGGCTGCTTCGTTACCAGCTCCCCTGCATCCATCCACCTTAAACATCTCTCTCAAGCACCTGGGAACGGAAATACAGTAAGTGATTGACAATGTGCTATTTGCAAATCACTGGGGGAGGTTGGGTGGGGGATAGGCCTAAAAAATATCCTGTCTAATGCCCCAGTTGGATACTGTCACAATGACAATTGGAAACGCATTCATTTGCACAAAAGATTCTGTGACACTATTCAAAAAGAGGAGTTTCTCTCTCACACTCCCTCGCTCGTGCTCATGCTTGCATCACTCCACTTCCCTTCACTCTGAAACATTGCCTGCCTCTGCTACTACCTCTTCCCTAGGGCCGCCAGACTCTCACCCAGGGTTTTATCATGTCCAGTGATAAAACTGTGTCAAAGCTCTGCTCCCTGGATTTCCCAGCTCTTTCCTGCTAAAGCTTCAGACTATCCAGAACTCTGCAGGCCATGTCCTCCTGCACATCCGGCTCCACCTATCACCCTCATCCTTGCTTGACTCCATTTGCTCTGCATTTCTCAGCAGATCGAGTTCAAAATCCTCGTTCTTGTGTTACATTTCCTCTACTGTTTTGCCTCACACTACCTCTGTACCAACCCGGTCATTCCCTTCATTCAGCAAATATTGGCCTGTTTCATGTCCCTCGCTCTAATGAAAGGATTATTATTATGATTATTATTATTCATTCAATTATCGGTGTGTGGACTTTCAGCCATTCTGTCCTCACTCTCTGGAACTCCATCCTGGAGTTCCTCCAACTCCAACTCCCTCAACTCGTTCAAAGCACTTCTCAAGATATACCTCTTTGACTGCTCTTTCCCCTCCCCACCCCCAGCTCAGGTGCCCATCCAGTATTGTCAAGTGCTTTTGAGATGTCCTCCTGACATGAAAGGCATTCTATAAATGTAACTTGTGTAGTATTGTATGTTCACTTCATTTACTTTCCTTCTCTTTAACTTAATAGGAACTTCAGTTCTAAGACGGTGTTTCAATTCTGTGGTAACAAGCCACTGAGGGAAAATAGGACGAGCGTCTTTCAGTTTGACGAAATCAGTCAGGTGGATGATGACATTTGCGAAGACTCACCGCTACCCAAAGGGGCTGAGCTGTCTGGTAAAATACGTTTATACAGAGAAGAGCTTTCCAGGCAAAAGCATGCTCGTTTGCTATCTCTAACAATGAGAGGCACTGGAACATGTTCTAGTCTAGAGATCTTTAGTACTGTATCTTATTGTATCTTGTAACTTATCTGTTAATTTTGCTTGTCAATTGGTTCCCCTTTACACAATGGTGGTAGATTAGAAATAATTATTTCGGCCATGAACATAGAACAGCTCTCTCTCACCTCTCTAACCTCTATAGTTCTCCAGTATCTCTGCTCTTTAAAGGCATCCATTTCTTTCTGCACCCCTTGGACTGGTGACCCAGACCAGAGATCAGTCTCAGCTTACATCTGCCTCCTCTGAAAACTTCCAGATGTGCAAAAGTTGTGAAATGAGCATCTTCCCTTATCTACATGTCCATGGACACTAACAGTAGCAGCTTTATATAGCCTTCATCATGTAGAATGAATGTCTCAAAATCATTTCCAGAAGAAGGAAGGGAGAATTTAAAGGATGTTGAGGAAAAAACAATTTTGAAGCGACGCAGTGAAATATGTTTTATAAATATCATGAAAGTCTGTTGACTTCCAGCCATTGCTAGTATGGATCTACCTCCCCCACACACCCCCACACACACATGCATGATAGACTATCTGTTTGGGGATTTGAGAAAACAATTGGCAGTAACTGGAAACTGGGAATACCTCTAGGTTTTGATTTGAAATCCTAGAGGCAGTGTTTGAGTGCTGCTCAATGCAAAACTGATTGAATTGTCCTGCTTCCTAAAATAGTATTCTTGTACTCTCTCTATCCCATATATCACCCATCTCAAGACCTTCTTTTTCGACCGTGCCTTCAGTCATCTTCCCTCCTCCACCCTCCCTAGCCCTCCACCCCTCTCTGATCCCAACCCGCAGATTGGGTCCAAAGCCCTCAATGTCCAGCACCTTGGGAAGGCCTCCCGACTTGAAAGGCGCTAGAAAATTGCAATTTGGTTTTGTTGTGCCTCTGAGATGTGTCTTTTCAATGCTCAGGTGACAAAGTTATTTGATGTTTGCTAAAGGTTTACAACAAGCTGGTAAGCTGGTGTGTGATATACCTACACTTGCTTTTTAGTTAGAGATTCACCACAACCGGAAGACGAATTGAAGACTCCCTTCTCAAAGAACATATCAGGGGGGCTGAAACCTGTGTCCACCCAGCGACAGGGTAGCCTCCTACTCAAAGGAAAGGAAACAGGCTCCAACGACAAAGTAAACAGGTTGCAGTATGAGGTCTCAAAGCTCAGTGAAGACCTGGCTTCTCAGAAGGTAAGGCGACCAGTATTTAATGTACTTACTGTGATGTACCTGAATGAACAAGGGGGGATATCCAGAACCAGGGAGCATAACCTTAAAATTAGAGCTGGGCCATTTAGGAGTGAAACCAGGAAGCATTTTTTCGCACATAGAGTTGTGGTAATCTGGAATTCTCTCCCCTAAAAGATTGTTGATGTTGGGTCAAATGGAATTTTTAAGGCTGAGATCGATAGACATTCGTTGGGTAAGGGGATCGAGGGATATGGAGGAAAGGCGGGTAAATGAAGTTGAGGTACAGATCAGCCATGACCTAATAGAATGGCGGAACAGGCTTGAGGGGCTGAGTATAATCCTTGCATTTGATATAGCGCCTTATATCTTCGAGACATCTCAAAGCGCTTCACACAATATACTGTAAAGTGAGTGACTATATTTTGTATATAGGTAGTGTGGATAAGGGAGCACAGAATGGGAGATCCCATCCACTGTTTCCATCCCTCTTTCAGTAACATGCCATAGGCAGTGGTTACGGAGCAGACTGGGGTGAGCTCTGGAGCCAGGAAATGGTGCCTATCTTCATAAGGCAACTGAGCTAGAAAGCCTTAATCACTCATTTTTCCTTGTATTTAAAATAGTGATTACAATACTAATACTCCTTGCATTTGATGCAGCTTCTTTCACTTTGATTGTGAATGCAACAGCCAATTTGCACACATCAAACGTCCCACAAACAGCCATGAAGTGAATAACCAATATGCTTAATATTTTTCATATTGCGATATAGTATTTTTATTTTAGTAAAAAGTTTTGGATGACTTATATTTAAATAAACATCCTGCTTCAATCTGTACATTTGGATTTGATTAACTCATTGCTGAGAAATGATCTTGTGTATACGACTGTTTTATTAACACCAGAGGCCTGAAATTTGCCATGGTCTTAACCTTAGCTCCATTGTCCTTAAAGGAAATTAATATTGTGCAGAATGTAGGAAAATTCTTAAATTCAGTCTTGATTGAGAAGCAGTTTTTTCCCAGTTCTTTCTAAGTATAGAAGGGCAAGTAAGAAGTGTAACTGCAAGTTGTTGGTGTAGAAAGCTGCCAGGGAATGTATCTGTCAAGTGAATGGAATTACTGGTTTCTCTTGACTAATAGCTGTAAACTCCTCTAAATAACCTGTTGCCTAGGTTACAAAATCCAAATGAGGCCCAGTCATGCTTTCTATCAGCTTTGAAGAATCTGCCAAAACTCAGTAAATCCTAACAAATTGCTTCACATCTCAGGAATCTCTCACATCAGGAGATTTTATTTGGCCACTCTCTGACAATTTTGTACCTTCAGCCTCTCCGCTGCTGTCCTCCCATTACCTTTACAGCTGTTTTATTCCTTTCCCTTCGCCTGGAGACAGCACTTGATTATCACCCGGTACCTAAACAAGTGGCCATTGCTAGCATGTCTGGTTTTGACAGTGATTGCCAGCATCACAGCCAAGCCCTGTCTTGTCCTTACACCGATTCCACATCATGCACCTTTCCACAAGGGAAGGAAGAGGATAGAGTGTGTTTATGGACAGGGATCAGGAATAGGCATTCTGGTTGATTTTCACTCCCTAACCCAAGGCACTCAGACAAATTGTGTAACAGTAATAGTGTCTTTCATGTCAGTAGGAAGTCTCAAAACACTTCAAAGGCTTTACTCTTAAGATGTAATGATTGTGTATTTGTAGACAAACACAGCAGCCAATTTGCACGTAGCACTGTCCCACAAACAGCCATGAAGTGAATGACCAATTTTTTCTGAGGAATTGGTGCCCAGGTGGGGGCACAACAGGCTTCCTTCCTAATATTCTGTCATGCTCCATCAAAAACAATAACTAGCCTTCACACAATGAACCTTCTGCAAAAGGAAGTTAGATGAAATTAACAACAAGGTAAATTTGTGAGCTTTACTTAGCGGACAAGGTCAGAACGCTTTTCAAGGCAAAAAAGGTTCTAATACACATTCCTGTTTATTGCTCCCACTAAGATATAAAGTCCTGTAAATATGACAAAGGTTGCATAAGAACATAAGAAATGCTATCTGGGAAAAGATATGATTCGCTTTCTATCTTCCTGGCGGTTGCATGCACATAAGTATGTCCCAAACTACCTATGTACTATATCCTGTAATGTTGTTTCCTAAAAGAAAACTATCTAATCTGTGTTTGAAAGAATCAACAATTCCTGCTTCAACCGTCTCCGTAGGGAACCTGTTTCATAGGTTTACTATTCGCTTGTTCACTGAAATAGTGTTTGCGTAAAGTTGTTCTGAATTTACCCTCTTCAATCACAGGCCGTGTCCTCTGGTTTCACTATTCTGGACAAGTTGAAACAGCCTGTCATGCTCTATATTGTCTTGTCCCTTTAGAATCTTAAAGGTAGCAATCATGTCACCTCTCAATCTTCTCTTGTCCAGCGTGAACATGCCCAATTTACTTAGTAACTCTTCATAGTCCAGTCCTTCCATTCCCTCAGTCATTTTGGTTGCCCTTCTCTGTATCTTCTCGATCTAATACCCTTTTTGTACTGCAGCGACCAGAACTGTACACAGTACTCTTAAGTATGGTATCACCAATGATTTATAGAGTGGCAGGATTACCCCACTATTTTGGCTTGTTATTGATCTTTTGATACAACCCAACATCTGGTTTGCTAGACTCACTGCCACAGATCATTGTTAGGAGAGCTTCAATGTACTGTCAATCAGGACCTAATAAAACTGGCCATTCTCTTTGTTTGTGGGATGTCACTGTGTACAACTTAGCTGCTGAGTTCACCTACAAAATACACAGTGACAACACTGCAGTAAAATCCCGTGAAGTGCTTTGAGTCATGAAACAAAAGTGACTGGATTTGCACTCAAATGCATGGATTATTATTGTTGTGATTATTACTGATGAAATCTGTTGTTGTTGTGCCAGGAGCTGGTGAGGCTTCTACACAAGGCGCTGGAGGCAGCCCAGCAGGAGAAGCGGGCGTGCAACTCCTTCCTGGCCAACGAGGCGGAAGCCATGCGGCTGGAGCTGCTGCGGCACAAGGTACGACAGATCGCAGAGCTCCAGGACCGTGAGGAGAGGCTGGAGAACGAGAAGCGGGAGCTGGAGCTGGAGCTGAAGCGAGAGGCTGGCCACGTGGAGGAGCTGAAGCAACACGTGCAGCTGCTGATGGAGAAGAACAATGCAAAGCAGGAGGTGGTCCTCAAGCTGTCCGCGAAGATGGCCCAGGAGAACGAGGAATCGCCCAGAACCCCCGACAGGGTCACTCAGGAGACCTTGAGGTTAAAGAAGGAAATTGCACATTTGAAGGTAATTGAAGGATGATCAATTACCAATTATCATTTACCTTACTACGCTTTATAAGGCGCTATATCAAATTCAAGGTTTATTATTATTAAGGTCATGATGACGGGAAGGAAATTATTTCGAGGTAAGGAGCTGGAAATTATTCTGGCCCATGTGTTGCAGAGATTCAGTCTGGACTCATCAGATTCTAACTAAAATTAAAACTTAACAATTAAAATTAATTCCAGGGACCTAGAATAAAGGTCTTGATCTTTGCTGGTTTAAAAAGAAGTCCAACCTATAGGATAAGTCCTATGGTGATCTTGTCCTCACAGAACATGAACACTTTCACCAGGAGTGAATAATCACTCGCAGAAACATCATCTGATTTTCCTCTTCAAGCTCGGACATTGTAACTCACCCACATTCACCCTATGGTATTTCTGAAAAGGCTATTGTATGCAAAAACATTTAGTACATTACATAATGTATGCAAATCTACTGGTTAGTGAATTCAGGATTAGAATCAAGGATTAGTTTTCAGCTCTTCCTAATATAATAATAATCCTTGCGTTTGATATAACGCATTATCACATCTACGAGACGTCTCAAAGCACTTCTTAGAATATACTGTAAAGTGAATTGACTGTGTATTTCGTGGGCGAAATACGGCAGCCAATTGCGCACGGTGGTGTCCCACAAACAGTCGTGGATTGAGTAACCAAATTATTACTATTATTATGTTTTTGGAGGAATTATTACCTCCGATCCGCCAATCGACTAACAACCGGGTTCCTACTTACTGCTTGGTAAACAGAGGCATGTGGAGTAAGGAAACTTGCCCAATATTTCGCCCTGCCGGGAATCAAACCCAGATCTCTTGCTTGCGAGGCAAGTGCTCTAACCACTGAGCTGCAGGACTCCATACAATTTATAATTGCATAAAACTAATTCTTACAGCATCAAAGAGTCTCTCAAATATCTGACGGGGAACAATTATCCAGAAGATATTCCCAAATGTTTTATTGAGGACGGCTTCTGCTCTGGTAAATTATATACTGGTAGCACTCTCGACTCTGAGTGAGAAGGTTGTGGGTTTAAGCCCCACATCGGGACTTTGAGTTTGCAGTTTAGGCTGACACTCCAGTGCAGTACTGAGGGAAGCACTGTATTGTCAGAGGTGCCATCCTTCGGCAGAGTCCTTAAAATCGAGGTCCTGTCTACCTGTTCGTATCCAATGGTTCCTGAAATGCTTGATCCATTCCATCGACCTGTCCCTGACGGCATAGCCCAAGCAAGCTACACTACATGTTTTATACAAAATAATATACTCTAGAGAGTGCCTGTGGGTAATAAGATATTAAATAAGGTGGCAGCTCGTTATTTGGATACCTGGTAGATAGACAGACAGCTTTGCAGGTTTTGATAGGAAACTGAATGGGACTCAGGTGAATATACGACAGGCGACTTAGGCATTTATGTGAATTTTACTGTATTACAGTTATTTAGCTCTAGTTACTTACAGGTTACTTGTCTGGAGTTTGAAGTTGATGCTTTGTGCTGCTTTGTCTTGGACAGGATGACCAGGAAGCCTACAAAACGCAGAACAAGTTCCTGAACTCCGAGATCTATCACATCACCAAGCTCTGGCAGAGCAACATCAAATGCATGGAAACATTGGCCTTGAAGGTAATCTAGTGTGTGGCTGAAGCATGTCAGACCAGACAAGTCTCAGAGGAGGGCTGTGGTACCCATCACCTGATTAATAAACCCTGGCCAGAAAACCTTCCCTTCCACCTGTCCCCATTCTTATTATAACAATAATAACGTTAATGGCATGATTCGAAAAGAGAGGTTGGAGGCCACCGATTATCACATAGTCTTTCCACCTCAACTCCAAACCGGCGTGGGGAAGGTATTGTTCTGGAATCAAATCTCAGTCCTTTCGACAGAGGTTTAGAGCTGAGAGACTGGGAACGTTGATTGCTGAAATGTTCAGATATCAAAGGATCAGTGTGAAGGTCGATTTCTATTGATGTCCTGTAAGTAGCCTGGCTGTCACCATGCTGGTGGGGCTGATGTCCAGGATTGGTCTCACATGGATCTGTCAGCTTTTCAAGTGTTAACAAAGATAAATAGGAGGAGTGGAGAGTTGTGTGGATTACAAATACTGCCTCAGGTTGGGTCGAATGGCTTGTTTCTGTTTCCATACACCCTGACTGTCCAGTGCTGTGGGATGTCCCCCTGACATGAATGGTGTTATACAAATGTAAATTTGCTGTTGTATCACTCTATGTAAAAAAAACTAATATAGTCATAGAATCATAGAATCGTACAGCACAAAAAGAGGCCATTTGGCCATCGAGTCTGTGCCGGCTCTTTGAATAGAGCAATTAATGTCAATCCCACTCCCCAGCCCTTTCCCCATAACCCTGCAAACCCGTCCTCCTCAATACTGTTTTTAAAAGTAGTTATTGAATCGGCCTCGACCACCCTTTCAGGCAAAGCATTCCAGATTCGAAAAACTCGCTGCGTGAAAAAATTTCTTCTCACCTCCCCTCTGCTTCTTTTAGATACTATTTTGAATCTGTGACCTCGAGTCACCGATACACCCACCAGTGGAAACATTTTTTCCCTTTCTAACCTATCAAATCCCCTCATGATTTTGAAGACCTCTATTAGGTCTCCTTGTAACCTTCTCTGCTCCAATGAAAATAATCCCAGTTTCCTCATAATCAAGGTTCCTCATTCCTGGTACCATCTTCGTAAATCTCCTTTGCACTCTTTCCAAAACCTTAACATCCTTCTATAATGTGGTGCCCAGAACTAGGCGCAGTATTCTAACTGAGGCCTAACCAGTGTTTTATGTAGGTTAATTATAACCTCCTGACTCTTGTACTCTATGCCCCTATTTATAAAGCCTAGTATCCCATATGCCCTTTTTACAGCTAGTATGGAAGTGGTCCCATTTTATATTGGTGTAAAAATCCAACAAGTTGCAGAAAGGCAATGAGTTTCACACACAGTCCTCAACATTCCAGCATGAGCATCTCTGGTATTTGACATCTGTGACACTCTTTCATCTCATAAGGTGTTAGCTTGGCTCAGTTGGTAGCACTCTCATCTATGGATCAAATTTTCTGGTTTCAAGCCCCACGTTGGAGTCTGAATTTGTAGTCCAGGTTAGTCAGTGGTGGTATTCTTTGAATGAGACTAAACCGAAACCTTAGCCAAGTTTCTTTACTCCACACGCCTCTGTTTACCTAGCAGTAAGTGGGAACCCGGCTGTTAGTCGATTGACGGATCACTTTCCGGGAATAGCAATCCCTTCAAAATAAATAAATATTTTGGTCACTCAATCCATCACGGTTTGTGGGACACTGCTGTGAGTAATTGGCTGCTGGCGTTTCGCCACAAAATATACAGTCAATTCACTTTACAGTATATCCTGTGAAGCGCATTAAGATGTCACAATGACGTGATAAGGTGCTATATCAAAGGCAAGGATTGATATTATTAAACCAAGGTCCCATCTGCTAGATCAGGTGTTGTTAAAGATCCCATGGCACTATTCTTAAAGGGAAGGGAGATACTCCTGGCATCCTGTCCAACAATCCCCTGGACAAATTAGCCATTCATTTGATGGTTGTTTGTTGGATCTTGCTCTGTGCAACTTGACTGCTGTGGTCACCTACCAATTAACAGTTTTTACTCTCATCAGCAATTTCCTGTGAAGCGCTGGGTAGCGTTTTGAGGTTATAGACACTATATCTAATGGAAGAATTATTAGTTTGACCCTGTGAATATATCCAAAGATTTAACCTTCAGACTTCCTCAGCTCAAGGTTACCTTTCACGACTCACTGCTTCCTGAATCAGCTGCCCTTTCATCCCGCCACTGCTCCACTCAACTGGAAATTCTCTTGAATCCACGAAACAGCAAATGTAACCTTGAATCCATAGAAGAATAGAAATTTACAGCACAGATGAAAGACATTCTGCCCATCGTACCTGTGATGGCTCTCTGAAAAGTATCTATTTAGTCCTATTTTCCCCCACACTCTTTTATATTTCTCCTTTTCAGATATTTATGTAATTCCCTCTGAAATATGGATTTTGCTTCAACCACCGTTCCACATCCTAAAAAGTAACAGTCCTTGCATTTTATGATCCTTGTTGGGAGGACGTCTCAAAGCATTTCACCTGATTCACTCTAAAGTGTACTGTGTTTTGTAAGTGAAAAACCGTATGTGTAAAGATAAATTTGCCCGATCTCTCCCTTTGCTCTTCTGGTCTGGCGAGCCGGAATATCCAGCTAAGTGTAATTACACTGTAATTGTTTGAATCCCACAAGTAGAAGATAGCAAATAAGATATCGTCTGCTTGCTGGATTCAAACTGAGCTGAAGTCGATATCCCTGGCCACTAAAGGCCAGAGAGGTTGGCAAGGTGGGGACGCCTGGCTGGAGAGTCCCTGGTGTGAGTCCACATGTGGACCAGTAGAATATGTTTTTCAATTTTCCGTTTTGGGTGGATACGAGGAGTCCGGTAAATGTGGAGTTTACTATAATTTGTATGCCATTTAGTTACTGACATCGTGGAATCCAAATTCCTTCTAGAAATTTCTTATCCACCTCCTGGAGTCAATATTTCAAGAGTTATCAGCCCATGAAAGCAGCTGCTTATTAAGGTCGATCTATTCCCACCTAATGATGCTGCTTTGTTTCAAAGCCTGAGTGAAGGCTGATTATAATGCCAGTGATTAGCTCGGTGACTGAGAATTAGTATTGCAATTCTCCATCTTATTAGTCAGAAAGACATTAGGAGCTCTTTATAATAATAATAATCCTTGCATTTGATATAGCGCTTTTCACGTCGGGAGGATGTCCCAAAGCACTTCACAGAACACACTGTAAAGTGAATTGACTGTATATTTGTGGGCGAACGCAGCAGCCAATTGGGCACAGCAATGTCCCACAAACAGTCGTAGATTGAAAATGACCAATTTATTATTGTTTTTGGTTTTTGGAGGGATTATTATTAGGCGTGTGGAGTAAGGAAACTTGCCCAAGGTTTCGCCCTCTGCCTGGAATTGAACTCAGGTCTCTCACTTGCAAAGCGTGTGCTCTAACCACTGAGCTACAGGACTCCCATTACCTCAGGACATTTGGCAATGTAATAAACAGCTTTGTGACCGACCCCCTTCCTCATGGCTAGTACAAGTGTAAGTCAATAAATCAGAGCTTGACGCACACATAGCCATAGCCTGTAAGACGTTTTCTCTTGAATTTTAAGAACGAGCAAAATTGTGGAAAATCCTTCAATTCAGTCTCGATTTGGAAACTGGTTTCTTTTCAAATCAAGAACAATTTGAAGAATTCTCCAGATGGTTAACTTTGAGGAGAAAATGACCAGGTTTAACAGCCTTATCTTGTTTAAAATAGATCTTAAGGCCAATATTTCTCCTGGTCTTAGCAATAAGAACTGTAGGCAACCACCATTCAAAGTTAGAACTGACTTCAGCAATTTTAAAAAATTCTGCATAATCTTAAAAATGTTAAGCCTAAAACGAGGAGAAATTTCAGACCATGGATTCTGGGGAGCTCAACAACTACATCTGGGTCTCACTACATATGTGGCACTTGCTTGGAGCTTAACTTTCCTACATGTCACCTTCAACGCAATGCCCATCTTGTAGTTGAGTGATATATATTTGATAGAGCCGTTTGACCAGATCTGTTTCCAGAAGAGAAAGTTGCTCATATTCATCCAACTTGTCTGCTTGAAATCTCAGGATTTATAAGTTGAGAAGCCTGGTATAAAGCCTAGGGATTGTAGTGGGAGGAATAGAGAGAAGATGTGATCACACGGAAAATGTAGAAACAGCACCAGAAAGTTTGAAAACGCATGTTTGATGTTTTACGAGCCACAGAGAATGAGGAATGAGGAACTCACATGCCAGACACTGTGGTTGAAGCTGAAAAATCTCAATGCATTTAAGAGGAAACTCAATGCATATATGAGGGAAAGTATAGTACAATACAAATTTACATTTATGTAGCAGCTTTAATGTCAAGAGCACGTTCTAAAGTGCTTGACAGTCCAGGGTTTGCATCTGGTGTACGGGGTGAAGGGGGAAAGATGGCCGAAAGTGCGGTCAAAGCGGAAGGTCATGAGGTGGACCTTGAGGGAGGTGAAGAAAGGAGTGAGTCATCAGGACTCCGGGATGGAGTTCCAGAAAGTGGGAGCAGACTCTGAAATCCCAAGGTGGGATGGGGGACGTGAAGCAGGCTGCTGCTCACTGAGCAAAACAACATGTGAAGGGATTAGAGCAGTATATGGTGAGGCTATGCGAGGGAGGATTGGGATAGGGGAGGTGAAGTATAAACACTTGGTACAAACTACCTGGGATGAATGGCCTGCTTTGATGTTATAGGTCTATTCATTCTGGATATCATTCTCCAGAGCCTCAAACTCACAAACCAGAATAGCGAACATCAGTGTTTTAGTACAAATGAAAATACACCAGTGCCGCCCAGACCCCTTTACAGCTCCCATGTTGATGGAAGAGCATTCCGAGCCCCCTCCCCTCACCGGTCAGTGATGACAGGCAGTGAGGGACCAGAACCCGTTTGTAATGCCCCCTAGTGGCCAGGATGGACATTGCAGTACCTCCATCACTCACAGTATTGAGAGCTCCAGAAGGATTGACGTGAAGTCAGTTGCACATTGCACTCTGTTCGTAAAGAGAAGGGAGTTTCCCCTGGTTCCTGGCCAACAATAACAACAACGAATTACATTTGTATAGTGCTTTTTATGTCGGGAGGAGGTCCCAAGGCACTGGACAGTTGTTGATTTGGATCCGAGCAGGATCTTGATATCAGGAGGGGTGGAGGGCAGGGAGGGTAGGAGTGTGGCCAAAGGCGGTCGAAGAGGAGGGTTGTGAGATGTGCCTTGAAAGAGGAAAGGGAGGGAGCGAGGCGAAGAGATTGTGGGATAGAGTTCCAAAGGGTGGGGGCAGAAAGGCTGAAGGCCCGACTGCCCGTGGTGGGCGGGCTGGGTGGGGGACATGGAGCATGCTGGAGCTTGCTGAGTGGAAGGAGTGGGACAGGTTGCTAAGTGGTCAGCAGGTCACAGAGGTAGGAGGGGTCAAGGCTGTGGAGGACTTTGAAGGTGAGGACGAGGATTTTGAACTCTATTCTCTGGGGGTGGGGAGTCAGTGGAGCCGGGCAAGGATGGGAATGATACGGTCACGGAGCCTGGTGTGGTAGAGGACATGAGCTGCAAAGTTCTGGATGGTTCTGCAGCTTGCGGAGGGAAGAGTTGGGAAGGCCAACAAACAGATTGGCCAACAATCAATCCTTCAAATAAAATTGGATACGTGGCTGGTTGTGGAACATTGCTGTGCGCAAATTGGTTGACACTTTGAAATAACAGTCACTGCACTTTGCAATATATCCTGTGAAGCACTTTGTGACATCCTCCCAATGTGAAAGGCATTGTATCAAATGTAAGGATTATTTTTGTTTTTTTATGCTTTGTTCAGTATCAAGTGCAACAGATCAACTTACTTAATTGATCTGAAGACGGTAGGTCTGATAATATTGATGAAGAATATTTTGAGGCTCCTGGTTAAATTTGGATTATTTTTTATTTTCCTTCTCCCCTCACCCCCACCATTCATCCACAAAACACACATTGACTCATCTTTACAGTAAATCCTGTGAAGCGCTTTGAAATGTCCTCCTGATGTGAAAGGTGCCATACCAAATGTAAGGATTATTTTTATTTAATGCTGCCATCTGCGGAACCGGGCAGGCATTTGGCAGCCCTGTACCTCAGCCGATGTCACACTGCCCCCAGGAAGATGGCACTGTGAAGCCTGGGAATTAAGTAAGCGGGGTTTGTCGCTCCAGGGAGAGAGTGCACATTCCATCCCAGGCACAGGAAAATTTCCATTTGGGAGGTGACATACCCACATGGAGTTCTGTCTGGTTTGGGTAATTCTTAAGCATGGTATTGGGTTATCCAAGTAGTATCCAAAGCAGACTGAGAGTTCCAGATATGTTTACCACCACATGTAGAAATTTCCCTGTGTCTGGAATGGAATGCGCATTCTCTCCCTGGAGCGACACACCCCGCTTTCCTAATTCCCAGGCATGGTGATAAGTTTCCACTGGATGACCAAGAAACTATCCCTGGGCCACTATACCCAGACCTTTTTCCTGCGGGGTAAGGCGTGTTAGATATTCTGAGTGAATGCTGATTTGAAGAGTTTCTCCCACAGTGTGCGTACTTAGAGGCCAAGTACTGTCAGATTGAGAGCAAGTACCTGGTGGTGCTGCATAAACTACAGGACAGTCTGACGGAACAGGATGTCGACCACCACGAGATGTTGAAGCAGCTGATTGAGGATGCGCTGCACTGGGAGAGCAAAGAGGAATCAGGCCTGGAGTTCAGCAGCCCATTCAGGTAGGGAGACATGAACCTCTTAAACAACAACAAACACGCCAACTTGCATTTATATGGCATCCTTCACTCAGGATAGAACCTTGGAGTGCTCTGCAAAGACAATGTCAGGCACCAATTGGACTCTATCCTGTGGTAGTACCAGTACCATAGCATAGTAATCTCTCAAGCGAGAGGACCTAGGTTTGATTCCTGGGCAGGAGAGGGCGAAAACTTTGGTAACTTTCCTTACTCCACACACCTCTGTTTACCTAGCAGTAAGTAGGAACCCGGTTGTTAGTCGATTGGCAGATCGGTTTCCAGTGGTAATAATCCTTTCAAAAAATAGATAAATAGATGAATAAATTGGTCACTCAATAAATTGGTCACTCAATCCATGACTTTTCGTGGGACACTGCTGTGCGCAACTGGCTGCCGCATTTCGCACACAAAATACAGTCAATTCACTTTACAATATATTCTGTGAAGCGCTTTGAGATGACTCAACCACTTGGTAAGGCACTATGTCAAATGCAAAGATTATTATTACTATTTATTTGGAGGAGGGGCAAAGAAAGGTTAATAAACCATTGGGGAAAACTTTTTTGTAACTGTAGTGTCCTGGAAAATCACCTGTGGGTGTAAATCACCTGGGACGTCACATTGACCCACCTGCAGTTATCTCTAAGATCAGATCTGGTTGGAGCTGGGTGCTCAGTTGCCATGAATCTCACTTTCTTTCTTCTCCCCCACCCACCCCACCCATATTCTGATGACACTGCTGTTGGCTGGGGGGTTCGGGCGTGAAGAATGACTACGTAGGTGAGGTGCTGGAGAGGGACAGGAGACACCCATTGGGATAGTCGGAGGTTGGTCTTGAAAAGCTTGTGAGCCACCTCAGGCTCATTCCTGCTCCTCAGAATGGGTCTTTTCTTGCTCAGCAAGCGTCAGTCCTGTGGGAACTTAATAATAATGCTTGCATTTCATATAACACCTTTTATGTTGTGAGGACGTTTCAAACCACTTTACAGGATTCACTAAAAAATTGAGTGTAATCTAATAGAATGGCAGAACAGGCTGGAACGGCTGAATGGCCTACTCCTGTTCCTATGCAGGCAAACACAGTGCTGCCTACTATCAAGTATTTGGAGCTGCACACACACTTACCATTGAGCAGTAATAGTAGCAGTAAGTAAGCTCTGTTCATGCTTCTTTTCTAGAGAATATGATGAATATGGCTTCAAGGTGAGGCCTGATGCTGGGAAGAGGCTCACGACCAGAATCCGTACACTGGAATTGAAATCCAACAACCTGATCAGTGGCCAGGACGGGCCAGAGAAAGCCAACCGAGCCAAATGGGACAACCTCATCGCTGGCCGTAGTGGCGCGGAGCTGATCGCTTCCCCCGAGCTGAAGAACCTGATCCGAAACGGTGTTCCCAAGGAGCGCCGGCGGCAAGTCTGGAAGTGGTGTGTGAGGAGGCGGGTCTGGCACATCCAGGAGAGGTATGGACCCAACCGCTACAAAGAGCTGTTGAAGCTGTGCCAGGTCAAACACCACCCGGCCTCCAAGCAGATCGAACTGGACCTGCTGCGCACACTGACCAACAATAAGCACTTCACCTCCCTCAGCTCCGAGATGGTCCTCAAACTGCGCCGTGTCCTACTGGCCTATTCCTGGCAGAACCCAGACATCGGATACTGCCAAGGCCTCAACAGGTACTTTGTTTATAACCGCCCTTCCCTTTTCAATAAGGCCAGTGGACAGAGATTTTTTTGTCAGCCTGGTGTCTGCCACATAGGGAAACCCATCACCACACTTAATAGTATCCAAAGCAGACTGAGAGTTCCACACATGTTTGCCACCTACGTGCGGAAATTTCCCTCTGTCTGGAATGCAGTGTGCACTCTCTCCTTAGAGGGGTGCACCCTGCTTTGCCCAGATTCTGGAGAGTACAGGTAAATTGCCATGTGTAGCTCACTTACATATGTGGAGCTCTCAGCTCAGTTCAGATACACGTAAGCGTGGTGATGCATTAGACACCCAGCTAGCCAAAAGAAATTTGATTCCAGTGAGCGCCACTTGACGAGAGCATGATAGGGCTGATAATTATTGAATGAAATTTAATATTGATTTGAAACTAATGCCAGGTACTATATATAGGATCCAAGAATAGAAATACATGTTCTCTATGAATAGGATAGAACTTGCCAAGGGGAAGCTGAAAAAGATCTGGGACTGTTAGGAGAGCAACGAGATTGATCCCCAGGGTTAGAGGAATGAGCAACAACTAAACAAGCTAAGGCTCTTCAGTGTTGAGAGAAGATGACTCAAGGCAGATCTTATAGAGGTGGGTAACATTTTAAATGGGATTGAAAAATAAACCTAGTTCAATACTTTAGGATGCATCAAGGCAGTAGAACAAGTGGACATAGGTTTAGAGTTGCAAAGGACAATTTCAGGACAAACACCAGGAAGTTTTTTCTTTATTCAGAGAGTAATCAACAACTAGAACAAGTTGTCAAGAAGCGTGGTAGAGACCAGACCCTGAATTAATTTAAAAAGTAGCTTAATACTGTGATGGGGAGTCGGTAGGGTGGACGTTCTGGAGCGATGAAATCGGATAGGCTGAAGGGTTTTCTTCATCCAGATCTATCTTGTACTCTTGTGAAGAGTACTGCCACCCTGTGGTTATGGCAAGGTATGGCGTGTCAACCAGTGTAGCAAATCTAAATGCAATCAGTGGGGACAAATTTTATTGTGGGAATGGCAATTGGGAACACAGAATTGTACACGACTAGCCAGACAGCTGGAGTTTGGTCCATCTGCAAATCCCATTGTCTGAAATATTCACGTCTTCCAGACACTTTGAGACGTCTAGAAGACGTGAAAAGCGCTATATCAAATGCAAGGATTATTATTATTATATTATTAATCGCTATTTCCCACACATCTCGATCCCCACTGGCACAATTTGCCATAATTCCTCTTCAGTGCTGAGGTGAGTCTCAGCTGCTTCCCTTTTGTTTTGCTGGGGCTTCTTTAGCCAGTGGGATTCTCGTGAGATGCTGATTATTGGGATTGGTCATGTATGGGGCAGTGGGGGAGAGGGACGCACATCTCCCCATTTGTTACCTCCATTGATACAAAATTCTGATCATTTGCAAAGGTAAGCAAGAAGGAGGTGACTACAGTGAGGACATTAGTTCAGGCTCAAGTCCAGCTCACTGCGGTACCTCTTGTGGTCAAATAGTCCTACAAGATTCCAACAAGAGCAAATTATTATTTGCTCTACAATGGTAGCTTGGTGTTTGGCCCCTGACCGGTGCCTGTTCTGAAATTGTCCTTTGCAACTTGTTTTGCTCTCTTGGTGCGTCTGAAATTTATTATCGTTCTAGGTTTACTTTTGCAATTACAATTAAACATATTATACATCTCTGAGATGTCTCCTTCCAAGACTGAAGAGCCCCAACTTGTCTAAACATTGTTCATAGCTCATTCCAACACTGGGATCATCCTTGTTAATAGCTTTTCTGCACTGCTCCAGTGCCTAGGCAGCTCCCTAGTGTTATAGTGAACCGAACTGTATGCAGCACTCCAGGTGCGTTCTTGCTCCGAGCACTCTACAGACTGAGTATGATGTCTTGGGATCTGAACTCAACTAATTTGACAATGTAGCCCAGCATTCTGTTTGTATGTGCTGCCTCACTCTGCTTGATGCCAACTGCAAGGCGATGCTGGATTTCCTCGAATCCAGAGTTGAGGGGATCCTCTCAGCTGCCTCTGTCCTTCTGTCTACTACCCCCTCACCATCTCCTTCTCTCACCCCAGCCGCTACCCATCCCTCCCTCCACACCTTTGAACTGTCTCCCACTCCTCTCTAACCAACACGATAACCCGCATGAAATTGACCACATGCTCCCTCAACCCCAACCCTACTTTCTCCTTACCTCCCAGCTCCACCTCCTTGCCCTTCTTCTCACAGACATCATAAAATTCTCCCTGTCCATTGGTATCATTCCCAGCCCTTTAAAAACGTCCGTCATCATTCCTATCCTTAAAAACCCCTCTCTGGATCCTGGACCCACTCTCAAACTAACGCCCCATCTCCAACCTCCCTTTCCTCTCCAAGGTCCTGGAATGAGTCATATTGACTGTATAATTGTGGGCGAAACGCTGCAGCCAATTGCGCACCACTGTATCCCACAAACAGTAGTGGATTGAAGTAACCAAATTATTATTTTTTTTCTTGAGGGATTATTATCAGGCATGTGGAGTAAGGAAACTTGCCCAAGGTTTCGCCCTCCCGGGAATCAAACCCAGGTCTCTCACTTGCAAGGCAAGTGCTCTAACCACTGAGCTACAGGACTCCAAAACATCTGTATTCTCCCTCTTGATGACGTCATCCTCAGACATGGGGTCAATTTCCATATGTATGCGGATGACACCCAACTCTACCTATCTGCCTCCACGCTTGACTCCAGGACCACTGCTGTCCTGACAGAATGTCTGTCAGACATCAAGTCCTGGATGAGAGCTAACTTTCTTCAGTTGAACGTCAACAACAACAACAACAAGATTGCATTTATAGAGCACCTTTCACGTCGGGAGGACGTCCCAAGTCGCTGAACAGTTGGGTCGGGACCCGAGCAGGGGGGAAATCGTCAAGGTGAGGGGAGAGAAGGGAGGGAGCGAGGAGGGGGTAGAGAGTCGAGAAGGGAGCTGAAGGCACGGTTGAAGAGAAAGGTCTTGAGACCGGCCTTGAAGGAGGAAAGGGAGGAGGCGGCGAAGGCACTGGGGGATGGAGTTCCAGAGCCTAGGGGCTGAGAGGCTGAAAGCCCGGCTACCGATGGTAGGGCGGTTGGGGTGGGGGATGTGGAGCAGACCGGAGCCAGAGGAACGGAGGGTACGGGCAGGTAAGTAGAGGGATAGTAGGTCGGAGAGATAGGAGGGAGCAAGGCCGTGAATGGCCTTGTAGGTGAGGATGAGGATCTTGAATTCGATCCTCTGGGGGATGGGGAGCCAGTGGAGGCGAGCGAGGGTGGGAGTGATGTGGTCGCGAAGCCTGGTGCGGGACAGTACACGAGCTGCAGAGTTCTGAATGACCTGCAGCTTGTGGAGGGAGGTGCCGGGAAGGCCGACGAGGAGAGAGTTCCCGTAGTCCAGCCTTGAGGTGATAAAGGCGTGGACCAGAGTTTCAGCAGCGTGAGGGGTGAGGTAGTGCCGTAGTCTGGCGATATTCTGGAGGTGGTGGAAGGCGGTGCCAGTTGTGGCGCAGATATGAGGGAGAAAGGACAGCTCAGGGTCGAACAGAACCCCGAGGTTCCTGACTGGCTTTGAGAGGTGGAGAGTGCAGCCTTGGATGCTGATGCTGTCAGCGCCTGAGGTGCGGAGGCGCTGACGTGAGCCAATCAGGAGGGCCTCAGTTTTGCACACGTTGAGCTGAAGAAAGTTGTCTCTCGTCCAGGACTCGATGTCGGACAGGCAGCTGTCAGGACATCGGTGGTCGTGGAGTTGAAGGTAGAAGAGGAAAGGTAGAGTTGGATGTCATCCGCATACATGTGGAAGTTAACCCCATGTCTGCGGATGATGTCACCAAGGGGGAGCATGTAGAGGGTGAAGAGGAGGGGACCGAGGACAGAGCCCTGAGATGCTGCACGAGACAGTGCGGGGGGTGGAGGAAAAGCCGTTAGCGGTGACAAAATGAAAACTGTGGGAGAGGTAGGACCTAATCCACTCAAGGACAGGACCTTGAAGGTTGAGGTGGGAGGATAAGCGGTGGAGGAGGATAGAGTGGTCGACCATATCGAATGTGGCCGATAGGTCGAGGAGGACGAGGAGGCAGAGGGAGCCCTGGTCGCAGATGGTCAAGATGTCATTGGTGACCTTGACCAGGGCGGTTTCCGTGCTTTGGAAACCCGACTGGAGGGGTTCAAAAAGTGAATGGGTGGAGAGGAAAGAGTGCAGCTGGGAGGCGATGACTCTTTCGAGAACCTTGGACAGGAAGGGGAGGTTGGAGATAGGCCGTTCACTTGATAGCTGCGACACATCAAGGGAAGGAACAAGACTAAGTTCCTCCTGATTGGCTCCCGTCAGCGCCTCCGCACCTCACAGGCACTGACAGCATCACCATCCATGGTGGCACACTTGTCGGCCTTCCCAACTCCTCCCTCCACAGGCTGCAGATCATCCGGAACTCTGCAGTCCGTGTCCTCTCCCACACCAGGTTCCGAGACTCTGTCACCCCCCGCCATCGCCTGACTTGAATGGCTTCCCATCACACAGAGATTTCAGTTCAAGATCCTGGTCCTCGCCTGCAAAGCCCTCCATGGCCTTGCTCCTCCTACCTCTGCAACCCCCTAACCCCCTCCCATCCTGCCTGTTCCCTCTGTTCAGCGGGCTCCAGCCTGCTTCACTTCCCCCGTCTCGTCCACCCCACCATTGGTGGGCAGACCTTCTACCACTCTGCCCCCTCCCTTGCCTCCTTCAAGACCCATCTCAAGACCTTCCTCTTCGACCATGCTTTCAATCACCCTGCTTCCCCCCCTGCAGCCCACCCTCCCCAATCCCGACCCCCAGCTTGGATCCGAAACACTGACCATCCAGGCCTTGGGACGTCTTCCCGACGTAAAAGACACTATACAAATGTCATTTTGTTTTGTTGTTGACAGGGTGAATGATGAGTCAACTGATCTTCCTAGATCTCTTTCAGTTTCCGCTTGGCAAGTTCTAATCCATCCATGAAGTACATCTGTATCCTATTCATACTTCTGATTTGCCTTAACTTGTATTGAATTTGCCAGTTATCAGCTCATAGTCATCCCCTATGAAGTTTTCTTTCTAAGGCCTTTGCTACATTCTCTGATTCCACAGTTTCCCCCAACTTTATGTCATCTTCAAACGTAACTGCCTTACAGTGGGTCTTAATCTAGGTCATTAATATAAACAAGGAACAGAGGGGTTCCAGCATGGACTTCTGAGATACTCTACTTAATATCACCCCCTCCCTCCCCCCAAACACTGACCCTCTGCTTCATTCCCTCTGACATGACTGCCCTGTTCCTGCTGTAGATCACTACCTAGAGATTCTGGAGCGGGAGCTCAGGTGGTTATTGGGTGAAGACAGGATCCGGGCTTGGTGTTGGTAACTATTAGGTCACATAACATGGCTGCTTACCATTGTCTACACTCGCTCCTGAAGAATGGGCACTAAAGTGTTTAGCTTTACCTTCACACCTCGTGGCCACTCTGAGAGTACTGCATACGGTTCTGGTCACTGCAAGATTAGGGAGCTGCCCAGGTCACAGAGACAGTGCAGGGTGTAAAGGAGGGAAAATTGGGAGGAGGGGGATGAATGTAGCTGTTTAACTTCTTGCTGTAACACATGGTCATTGTTGCAGACTGGCAGCCATTGCTCTGCTGATCCTGCCGGAGGAGGATGCTTTCTGGTGTCTGGTGGCCATCGTTGACTGTATCATGCCTGAGGATTACTACAGCAAGACTCTGATTGGTTCTCAGGTGAGTAATCTCCTCAGGCAGGTACCCCAAACCCTTGTTATCAATGATCTACTCTCTGTACCTTGAAGACAGATGGAGCAAATGGATTCAACGTATTTGTCCACATTTGGACATTGGGTGAATTAATGTGTCTTTAGTAATTAGGGTTTTGGTTAGGATTTTGACCAGCCCTAATTAAATTAGGAAGAAGAAACTTCAAAATGTTATAAAAAACATGATATTTTCATTATCTATGACCTCAATGAAGTCATACCGTCAGTTATTGGCGTACTGCAATATCCATCAATCAGCCATGAAATGAACAACAATTTGCATTTATATAGGCTTAAATGACCAATCTTTCTGGGGGTTGTTGGCCAGGTCACTGGGAGTAACTCCTTTCTCTTTTTGAATAGTTCTTTGAGATATTTAACATCCACCTGAACAGACAGATGAGACCTTGGTTTAACGTTTCATCTGAAGGACGGCACCTGCAACAATGCAAAACCCCATTTCCCTCCCTCCCCTCCAGCACTGTATTGGAGTGTCAGCATAGACTGTGAGTTCAGTCTATGGAGTGCATACATTCTGAAGGTTAAGCTTAAACTTCCCTGCAGTGCAAGATCATCTTTGCCCGCTCTGTTTCATTCTGTCAAGTAAAATAAAACAGATCGGTATAATAATAAATAATAATCCTTGCATTTGATATAGCGCTTTTCGCGTCTTCTAGACGTCTCAAAGCGCTTCATAGAATAGACTGTAAAGTGAATTGACTGTATATGTGTGGGTGAAACGCGGCAGCCAATTGCACACAGCAGTGTCCCACAAATAGTCATGGATTGAAGTGACCAATTTTATTATTGTTTTTTTTCTTGAGGGATTATTTACAGGCGTGGGGAGTAAGGAAACTTGCCCAAGGTTTAGTCCTGCCGGGAATCAAACCCAGGACTCTCGCTTGTGAGGCGAGTGCTCTAACCACTGAGCTACTATATATTTTAATCCTATAAATGATTTGTTACGAACAACTTTTGAAGATTTCAGATGATTGTGTTACATCTCCCCACATTTCGAAAGATGAGATTAATACCGGGCGAAGTAAACAAAGCCCCCACAAGGTTAGACTGCACCTGCACTTGCTGCCACAGAGAATGGCAGTGCATTATCATGTTCTCAGATGCTCTCAGTCTGGGCTCAGTCTCTACCATTCAGCCCTAGGCTTCAAGGAAATGTCCCCATTGTGTAGCTTCTATCAGATGCTTCCTCCCGTCTCCATTGATCAAGTGTTAATGAAAGGCTGCAATCTCTTTCAATGAGTTGTATTTCTGTTGCATTAGTTCTGAGCAAACATGACTGAATGACTGAACCTCTGCTCCATCTCGCTTGTGGCTCATGATGCACTAGGTGTAGTGGTACAATACAATTTACATTTATGTAGAGCCTTTCACTTCAGGAGAATGTCTTTGACACTGATGGCTGGGAACCTGAGGGGCGTGGGGAAGGGAAGTGGCCTGTTTCCATATTGTACATTCTCTATGTAAATCTATGAAGGAGAATGATGAGGTATGTGATAATTTAGCTCTTGTTTTCATTCTAACTACAGGGCGACCAGAGGGTGTTCAGAGACCTGCTGTCGGACAAGCTGCCCAGGCTCACGGCTCACTTTGAGCAACACAACGTGGACCTCTCGCTAATCACCTTCAACTGGTTCCTGGTCATGTTTGTTGACTGTCTCAAGCGTGACATCCTTCTCGGGATCTGGGATGCATTCCTGTACGAGGGAACGAAGGTAACTATTCGGAGTTCATTTCTTAATTGATAATGTTCTTTGCATTTGATATAGTTGCTATAACATTGAAAATGTCTCAAAACACTTCTTAAGTGAAGTGACTGGCTCTCAAGGGTAGTGACTGCGTGTTTGTAGGTCAACCCAACAGGCAATTTGCAGCGTCTCACAAATTTTAACCAATTTTACCTTGGGGATTGTTGGCCAGGACACATGATCTGAGTTCAACATCTCATCTGAAGCATGCCTCTTCCTCCTCCTTTTCCTGTGCAGGACTATTATTATTTGTGCTTCACAACGAAAAAGACCTTGTGTCACCTGTGGCTAGATCCTCCCAGATGTTGGCTCTCTGCCGCCATTGCCCTCTCAGCAGTGCCCTCCTTTCATTCCGCTCATGTGCAAAATCCCGCGAGATAGACATTTCCTGACCATCACTGCCTAATGGGAGCAGATTCGGGGAAAAAGAACAGGCAGCAAAGTCACCTATAATAATAAATAATAATTCTTGCATTAATATAGTGCCTCATCACATCTTCTAGATGTCTAAAAGCGCTTCACAGAATATACTGCAAAGTGATTTGACTGTATATTTGTGGGCGAAACTCAGCAGCCAATTGCACACAGCAGTGTCCCACAAACATTGATTGAGTGACAATATTATTATTTTATTTTTTTCTTGAGGGATTATTATCAGGCATGTGGAGTAAGGAAACTTGCTCAAGGTTTCACCCTGCCAGGAATCGAGGCGAATGCTCTAACCGCTGAGCTACAGGGCTCCCTACACACTCAGGTGCAGCTCCCAGCCTCTGCTAGTGTTTCTTAAATAGCGGTTTATTGGGAATAAACTATCTTGAAAATTCCATGCTTGTACAGACCGTGTAGTCATTCACTTCATGGCTGTTTGTGAGACGTTGCTGTGCGCGAATTGACTGCCAAATTCTCCTATAAATACAGTGACTACACTTTACAGTGTATCCTGTGTAGCGCTTTTACATACTGTTCTGATGTGAATGATGCTGAATCAAATTCAACGATTAAAATAATAATAATCCTTTTGTGTTGTTGAGTAGTCTCAAAGCGGATCACAGGATATACTGTAAAGTAGTGTTACTGAGAATGGCCACAAAATACATAATAATATTAGGATCTTATCACGTCACTTATACAAAGGCGTTACAAGTTTCTCACATGCAACTCCATTAAGAGAGACTCAAGTATCAGCCCCACCACTTGAACATCACTCATAGATGCAGCCGATGAGGTAATATTTAAAGCAGCACTGATCCTCAGTACAACTCTACTGAAACGGGGAGAAATAGTGAAGGGTGAATAGCAGGAACGGTGCAGAACAACAAAAAATAACAGCAGCAGAAATAACAAGGTTAAAGGCTTTAGGAAGGAGGTGAGGCAGAGAGACAAGAATGTCCACAGGAATTTGCAGGTCAGAGTACAGACTGAAAAATTGCTTTGTAGTTTGGAGATTGACGTGATAAATTGAAGGTCTACTTTATGTTACGTTTCAGCCTTATTGTGGTGCTGTAAGCTGGACACAGGGAATGGAAGCGTGGCTGGGGAGGGCGAGGTACTTTAGTTATCAAGGCCTCCTTCTGAACTGAAACAAGTGCCTTGTGACTTAGAGTGAAGTGAACCCCATGTACTTCACATTGGCTAAGACCTCGGCTTTGACCCGAAACCTGTCACGAGTCAAAGTGATGTACACCCTGCTTTCTCCATCAGGCTTTCTCTTGCAGTTTGAACTCTCTTTCAACCCTAGTGTCTAGATTCACACATGAGATGGGCGAGGCGCTGGAGGGTGATCAGTGCTCTAGTTACATTGCCCAGCACCTTCTGTGGATGAGGAGGAGGAGAATATTTCCTCAGGAGGCACGTGTGGCGAGAAATAGAGGGCAGAAGAGGCTTTTTTTTAAATGTTGTGATTCAAGGAATTGTGAGGAGTGTATTGTAAGCACTGAAACGGGGAGAAATTAAGTCAAGGCTGGTTATTATAGTGAGCGTCACATGGCCGTTTAGAATCCAGAGCAGCATACACTGCATGTAAAGGTCTGAGACTGGGGCCGTGCTGCTGCTATAAATGGAGCCGCAACAGTGGATGATGTCAGGCTGCCTTTCATTATTGATCGTGTACACCAGCAAATGCTGTTGCATTCCTGCTGTGAAGCATGTCTCATAACATACCTCTTCGACCGCGCTTTTGTTCATCTTTCCCCTCCGCATCCCCTCCCCTCAGCTCTCACCCCTAGCTCAGATGGCCATCCAGCACTTGAAGCACTTTGAGAAGTTCTCCCAATGTGAAAGGTGCTATATTACTGTGTTGTATTAAGCAAAGAGAAGAGCCTTCTGGTAGTAGGACCTTGTTGCTGATGAATTTCTCCCGTGGCTTGATGACAGGAGCATTTGATGGAGCCTGTAGGGATGTGAATGGAAAAGCTTGTTATTCTAGTTTGTTATTCTTCGGTATACATCCGGAGTTCACAGTGTCAGGTAGAATCCTTTCAACTATCGTCACAGAAAACATAACGCCAAATTTATTATTTTACTGGAGTTTCTCTCTTTTCTGTCTTCGCTTTATTTCTTCCCTCCTGAAGGTGACAGATCAGGGTGCATATCCACCAAACACTTGGGGCAGGGCTTGTGCCCAGGTGCCAGTTGTTTTGTTCATGTGTGAGCTGGAGAGAAGGTGACAGGCAACAATAAGGGTTTAATTCTCAACAGGAATCTGTGGGTGGTGAGGGGCCACCTGGGTCTGGCAAGTTCTTAAACATGGCATTTGTTTTTGCAAGTTTATTTTAGTTTACCTAAAACTTAAGGCTGAATGCAGTAATTCTGGATGCTTCAACGTGTGGCATAAATAGAATACATCTAGACCTGGGTGGAATTTCTCCCCCGGGCAGTGTTCATTATGTCTACTGAAAGAAGACAAAGTACGAAAATCAATGGGTCAAGAATAACTTTCAGAAATCGCTTACTCTGATCCAACTGAGAAGGCTCAACATAGCGCTTGTTAATATTACCCTGTTGTTAATATTTTTTAACAAATATCACAAATTACTTCCCTCCTTTTCTCCCTCCCTTCCTTCCACGTCTCTATCTCTGAAAGTGGAATGAGGTAATTAATAATCTTTACAATCAATTTAGTGCCTTATCGTGTCAGACCGGCTCAAACAACTTCACAGGGTGTTACTGTGAAGCGTAGTGACTGTGTATTTTATTTGCTATCTGAAATGTAAGGGTTATTAATATTATAAGCCTTCTTATATAAAAAAAATCTAATTTCCACTTTTGCTCCTTCAGTTATTACTTTAAATTGATACCCATCCAGTCACTGCCTCATTGACAATGGGTGAAGTTGCTAAATGTGTACTTGGGGCCCCCTTTGCGTTGCAGGTTCTGTTCCGATACGGACTGGCTATTTTCAAATACAATGAGGAGGAAATCCTGAAGCTTAATGATAACCTGGAAATTTACGAAAACCTGAGGAGTTTCCCAAAAAACATTTCTGATTGCAGGTAAGACCCATTTGCTAAAGCTGCCACATGGTAATACAACAACAACAACAAATTACACTTGTGTATTGCCCTTCACGTCGAAAAGAGGCACTGGACAGTCAGGGGTTTTTGGACGCGAGCTGGGAGTCTGGGTTAGGAGGGGTGGAGGGCAGGGGGCGCGACAGGTTGGCCGAAGGCACGGTCGAAGAGGAAGGTATTTAAGTGGGACTTGAAGGAGGCAAGGGAGGGAATCAGGCGGAGGGACTGTGGGATAGAGTTCCAGAGTGTGGGGGCAGAGATGCTGAATGCCCGACCACCAATCATGGGGCAGGAAGTGCGGGGACCTGAAGCAGACCAGTGTCTGCTGAGCGGAGGAAGTGGACAGGCTGATATGGGGTTAGGAGGTTGGAGAGCTAGGGGGTAGCAAGACCATGGAGGGCTTTGAAGGTGAGAACGAGGGTTTTGTACTCGATTCTCTGAGGGATGTGAAGCTGGGCAAGGATGGGGGTGATTGGTTCACTGTCTCACACTGCAGGCTGCTGAAACCCTCATACATGCTTTCATTACATCGAGGCTCGACTATGCAAACTCATTGCTTGTCGGCCTCCCCAACTCCTCCCTCCACAGGCTGCAGATCATCCCGAACTCTGCAGCCCATGTCCTCTCCCGCACTAGGCTCCGTGACCCTATCACCCCCTTCCTCGCCCAACTCCACTGGCTTCTCATCACACAGAGGATACAGTTCAAGATTCTGGTCCCCACCTTCAAAGCCCTTCACGGTCTTGCTCCCCCCTACCTCTGGGACCACCTAACCCCCTACCACCCTGTTCACTCCCTCCGCTCAGCGGGCTCTGGTCTGCTTTAAGTCCCCGCCTCACTCGTCCCTCTATTGGCTGGCGACCCTTCTGCCACTCTGCCCCCACCCTCTGGAACTCCATCCCACAGTCCCTCCGCCTCGCCCCCTCCTTCACCACCTTTAAGACCCATCTCAAGACCCTCCTTTTTGATCTCCCTGTTTCCCCCTCTACTCTCCACCCTCCCCCACCCCGACCCCCAGCTCGGGTCCGTAACTCTGTCTGTCCAGCACCTTGGGACGTCCTCCCGACATGAAAGGCACTTTACAAATGAAATTTTGCGGTGGTTGTTGTTCGCGGAACCTGGTGCGGGAAGGGATACGAGCTGCAGAGTTTTGAATAATCTGCAATTTGTGGAGGAAAGAGTTGGGAAGTCCAGTGAGCAGTCAAGCCGGGACGGGATGATAGTGTTTGCATTACGTGTGGCCAGGTGCTTCCATCAGCCATTGCTCCAACTGAACAGGAAGGAGTTGTGAACCAGTGGGTAACTGAACCATTGCAGGAAGTACAGTGTCCAAAATCCACCTAATCTCAGCCTGTAGGACCATTTTGTCATTAAATTGACGAATTGTGGAAAATTCTTAAATTCACTCTTTGGAAGTCATTTTTTACAGTTCTTTGCAAGATCATGATTGGATAAAGAAGGCCATTCGCCTCATTTGATCTCATCCTTCTGGAACACCTACCGCCTACCGTCCTCCCATCACATCATCAAGCTGTTTTGTAAATGAGTCCTGAGCAGCCCCATTATATTGCAAAGCCATGAAATGTTCACAGTACCAAGTGTGGCCTCATTAGAGCACTTGAGATACCTTTAGTTTGACTTCTTGATATCTGAACTCAACTGATTTGGCAATATAGCCCGAAAAAGAACTGGCTTCCAAAACAGAACAGATTCACACAGAAAACTAGGTGGAATTAGGGGTCTCCTGATATCCCACAAGCAGCCTTGAACTGAGTGACCATTTTTATTTGTGGGATTGTTGACCAGGACACCAGGAGAAACTCCCTTCTTTTTTCCAAATAGTGCCATGGGATCTTTAACTTTTACCTGAACAGGTAGTCAAGATCTAGTTTAATATCTGGTATAAAAGTGAGTGTTTCATAATGCCTTGATTATTGAATGTTTTCGACCGATCCGATTAGTATATTTGTAACACCCTACACCAAACTACAGCTTGCATTTTAAACAAAATATCTGGACACTTAGAGCAAGAAATTCCACTAGTTTATAAAGTACTAGTTTATAGAGCATTTGCCTCGCAAGCAAGAGACCTGGGTTTAATTTCCAGCAGGGCGAAACCTTGGGCAAGTTTCCTTACTCCACTCACCTGATAATAATCCCTCAAGAAAAAAAAACAATAATAATAATTTGGTCACTTTAATCCATGACTGTTTGTGGGACATTGTTGTGCACAATTGGCTGCCGCATCTCGCCCACAAATATACAGTCAAATCACTTTACAGTATATTCTGTGAAGCGCTTTGAGACGTCTAGAAGATGTGAAAAGCGCTATATCAAATGCAAGGATTATTATTATTATTATTATTATTGAAAGACAGCACCTCTCCACAGTTCTGCTCTACAGAACTGCATTGGAGAGTCAGTCTAGACTAGGGGCATCTTCTCTCCTTTAACTCACAAGATCACGCGAAAAGTTTGGTCAACTTAGATCTCAAGCCTTCAGAAAAGCTACCCTGCTGTTTGATACAGGTCCTGGTAAAGGATACTTAGCTTCGAAATTTTAGAGTTCTTCATTTCTACAAAGCATAAAACGTTGTTTCTGGGATTTACAGTTTTAAGACAGGCCATCTCCATTCAGGGATCCCGAATTCTCATGAAGACCATTGTCAATAAATTTAAGATCAACTTGGAAGCAGGTTTCTTAAAAACAATCATGGTGGAATCATGTAGTGTATTGGTTAGAGCACTTGCCTCGCAAGCAAAAGGACCTGTGTTCGATTTCCCCGGTGGGGTGAAACCTTAGGCTAGTTTCCTTACTCCACATGTCTCTGTTTACCTAGCAGTGAGTAGCAACCTGGTTGTTATTCGATTGGTGGGTCACTTTCCAGGGGTAATCAACGACGTGATAAGTTGCTTTTTCAAATGCAAGGATTATTATTCTTATTATAAACCAGCTTCCTGATTGCTTGCAAGAATTGTTCAAAATGTTGCAAAATTCTTCTTCAGATTTTTGCGTATCTAATGTTCTTGTTTTACTGCACTCCCTACAGCAAGCTGAGGACCATTGCGTTTGTGGAGATGAATCCATTCCCCATGAGGCTGCTGAAAAATCGTCGGGCAGCACACCTGGAGAAGCTGAGGGCTGAGCTGAGCGAGCTGGAGCGCATCCGAGAGGAGTATGTGAAAGAGCGAGAGGAACAAAAAGGCAGGAATGTCTCCGTCAGCGACGATGAGGAGGAAACGTAATGAAAGTCGCCTCGCACATCAGTCCCCGAATTGTGCAGCATGCATTAGAAGCGGGGCTTGTAATTTTAAAAAGCCCCTGCGCTTAGGGGTAACTGAGGGGAAGAATTAGGAATAACTGAGGGTAGTAACTGAGGAGAACGACATTCTACAATTAAGGTTTTCCTTGATTTAGAAGAGAGCACAGTGAAGCAAATTATTTGAAGTTGAAATGCTTTTATGTGCTCCTCATTCTAGCGTGGCTGCAGAGTAAAGATTCCTCTGCTCTGCCCAACCTCAGAACTGCTGTCTTTCCTCCGTGTGCAGTTTTACATTGTCTGAGGCAGCCACTCCAATCGACTCTCTGAGGGAAACTGACTATTTTGTCATTACATGTGCCTCATTAAGCACCGACTTGTTCCATACTGGGAAAATGAATGAGATTACTCAAACCCATTTCACGTGAGACTCTTATGGCGAACAGAGAGAGACTTCCATCCCATCAGTTTTGTCTGGTTCTGCAGCCTGATCACAGAGACGAAGGTGCAACTCAATGTTTCTTATTCCAGAATGGGATGTTTAACTGGTTTATTATGTGTCTTGTTGTTGCCAATAACTAGCACTATTGTGATGGCATAAGACTTGATGGGCTTCCATTCCTAGCGATTGGGTTTAGGAGGATGAGGTTGACAGGGCCTGAGCACCACCACCAGCAGTGCAGGGTGCCAGTCAGTGTAACGAGTTTCATCATTTCAAAATAAAATGCATCAGAATTTGTTCTTGGCCGTAATTTACAGATGCTCCCAACGCAGTAGGCACCTTTAAAATCGTGGAGAGGTTTAGTATCTTGGTTAGGTATGCGAAGAGGCCTCAAGCTGACAGCAGGCTACCAGTCACAGCTGTCTGAAGACTGACGTTTCTCTGGCTGGAGAGGTTCTGGACTAAGTTTGGATACTTGGGCCAAGAATGAGTCAAGTGTAGTGTGACAGTGTGTTTGAGTGGATACTGAGTGAGTGAGTGAATGAGTGAGTGAGCGAGCGAGTGAGTGAGCGAGTGTGATTACCAGGGCACTGTATTGAAGAAAAGTGGGATATATTAAACCTGTAATCCCAAAACAGGTTAATTCTCAAAAGTGTGCGTTGGGGTACTGCTGAAGTCTAACCAGCTAAAACCGCATAGCTTGCCATTGATAGCACTGTCTGACAACCTTCCCGCTGCTTGTCCAGCTAGGATCACCCTACCCGGTAGGGCTTTGGCTTGCAGGGTTAACAGGAGCAGAGCGGGAGGATGCCCTGCCACCCAGTGACTGGCCTGTCCTTCCTAGTCCTACCAATGTGCTGTCATCAGCAGTGCCCTGGAATACTGTAGACCCGTCTGGCTCACTACAACAACAACAACAAGATTCCATTTATAGAGCGCCTTTCACGTTGGGAGGACGTGCCATAGCGCTGGACAGTTGGGTCAGGACCCGAGCAGGGGGGAAATGGTCAGGGTGAGGGGAGGGGGCGAGGAGGGGGTAGAGAGTTGAGAGGGGAGCTGAAGGCACGGTCAAAGAGAAAGGTCTTGAGACCGGCCTTGAAGGAGGAAAGGGAGGAGGCGGCGAAGGCACTGGGGGATAGAGTTCCAGAGCCTAGGGGCTGAGAGGCTGAAGGTCCGGCTGTCGATGGTAGGGCGGTTGGGGCGGGGCATGTGGAGCAGACTGGAGCCAGAGGAACGGAGGGTACGGGCAGGTAGGTAGGGGGATAGTAGGTCGGAGAGGTAGGAGGGAGCGAGGCCGTGAATGGCCTTGTAGGCGAGGATGAGGATCTTGAATTCGATCCCCTGTGGGATGGGGAGCCAGTGGAGGCGAGCGAGGGTGGGAGTGATGTGGTCGCGAAGCCTGGTGCGGGACAGTAGACTAACTGGAAAACAGACCGCCACAGAGGGCTGACTCGATTCTGACATTCCAGTTCCAAACGCGTCTCCTTACAACCAAGGGGACCTCATTTGCTCTTTTACCCCTTTGGTTGATTGGTTGGTGACAAAGTGAAACAGTTAAGTTGCAAGAAAAACTGTGGACGTGTACAGTGTAAACATATTCAAATGATATCTTTCTATTTAGACTCGTTCTAGTTTATATGAGACGTAACAAATTGTTGTTAGGACAGACTGGCAAGATGCATTGCATGTCCACCCAGGAGACTGGATTACTAGTGGTTTTTAGTCTCTGTCTGTGCATTGCTCTTGTCTGCTGCAAATCTAATGAACTTGTCTGCTGTCTACAGCATGACTCAAGGCCTCAGTAGTAGTCATCATTGTAAATAATTCAACTAACGGAGAGCGATAACACCTTCTAAAGAAGATTTGAATATCTTTTGTTTGATGTACAGTTCACAGTTTGAGTAGTTTAGGACATGGCACGTGCATGTGGCTGCCAGGATGGTGGAAGGTGATCTAGATGGACCCAGCTCTTTTTTTATCTAACATTGCCTAGGTTCCTATGATGTTTCATCTGAAAGATGGAATTTCTGACGATCAATACAGATCTTGTGACTAAACACTTTTGAAGTGGGATGTGGGGCAGTTTGGAGGCGGAGTGAGGGCAGTGTGGGTATAACGTGGAGTTGAGTGGGGGAGGCAATGTACTTTAAAGATTAAAAATGTCCTGAGGTTCTGCATAAGTCAAATATCAATACGAATTGTGGAAACAAGCTGCGTGGTGAAATATACAGTCTTGAAACGTAATGTATTTCCAGTTCTTTTCTTAGCTTATGAGGTGTTTCACACAGACTTCATGCTCCCGCTTAGGACGTGGGCACTGCTGGTGGGAACAGCATTTATTTATTGCCCATCCCTGGTTGCCCTGAGTAGATGCTGGTGCGGTCTTCTTTTTAATCCACTGCAGGGGCTAGTGCTCCCACCTTGGTATTCGATGGGGTGTTTCACTTTCTTCACCACCCTGAACCTGTGCCTGCTCGTCCTGACGCCTTGGGAAAAGGTTAAAGTGTCTCTAATGGCTTCAGTCAGTCAGTATGACTCATTGGTTCCAGATCACAAAAGTTAGACAGCTGCCCTAAAAAACAACTACAAGTTACGTTTAAATAGCACCTCTCATGTGAAAGAAAAGTCTAGAAGTATTTTACCGAATAAGGTGAACTAGAAATGAAGTGAATGTTGTTCTGGAGTTTGAGTCAGCCTGTCTCAGTGGTATCACTCTCATCACTCTCGCCTCTGAATCTGAAGGTGTTGGTTCAAGCCCTGTGATGGGACTTGGAATAACATAGTTTAAGATGACAATTAAGATGTTATTTGGGGGTCTAGTCTGCTTGTTTTGGTGGGTGTTAAAGATCCCATGCCACTATTCAAAAAGAGAAGGGAGTTTCTCCCTCCTGCTAACCTGGCCAACAATCCCACAAATAAAATTGGTCACTCCATGGCTGTTTGTGAGACATTGCTGTGTGCAAACTGGCTGCCACATTTAGCCCACAAAACACATAGTTAATTCACTTTACAGTATATCCTGTGAAGCACTTTGAGACATCTTGACAATGTGATAAGGCACTATATCAAATGCAAGTATTATTATTAAATGCAGCTCCTATTTTGCGCAAGGAATGTCGGTTAATCAACAATGAGAGGAGTAGTCAATTAATTCAAAGTTTTGGTGTTGAATTTGGATGAAGAGAGAATGTAAAACAGGACAATGGAAGAAACTTCTCTTTGTGGATTGGAGGTGGCTTTAATGAATTACCAGGCAGATGGGACTCAATTCAGACCACATACTGCGTTGTTCAGGAAACGCAGATAGTCTTTAAATTATAAACAGATCAACCGAGTGTCAAGTTGTCTGTGTCCTGACATATTGAGAGAAGTTGACATCTTTATTTCAATATACACTACTTTGTTTTACGTGGAGTGAGTTGGGATTGTGGGTCATAGACTTGATCGATATCAGTTTGAGGTACTGGATAGGAGTGACTGAGATCATTGAGGATGTTATAGATTTAAAGAGGGTTTGTTTACCTTTGTTTCTTCAGTAGACTAGCGAACGTTTGATTAGAGAAAAGTCACTGAATCACCCAGTTACCAAAGAATTTTAAGACGGTTTTGCTTTTCGTAATTCATTTAGTGTTTGTTATCCTGTGTTATTTATTTCTATCTTTGTATTGTTTCCCCTCTTCCAATAAACTAATTTGCCTATGTTTATCTGTACTGACACATGAGCTCAAATCCCAACACAGGGCTTGAATCCACAGCCTTCTACCCATAATAATAATCCCTCCAAAACCAAAAAAACAATAATAAAAATTGGTCATTTTCAATCTACGACTGTTTTTGGGACATTGCTATGCGCAATTGGCTGCCACGTTCGCCCACAAATATACAGTCAATTCACTTTACAGTGTGTTCTGTGAAGCGCTTTGGGACGTCCTCCTGACGTGAAAAGCACTATATCAAATGCAAGGATTATTATTATTATTATTATAAGGTGCGAGTGCTTACATTCTGAGCCAGGCTGAAGTACCAGAGTTCCACACTGACCTTTCCAGCAATTGTCACTGACTGGTCCCACTCACTCTGCTCCCAAGTCATCATCTTCCTGGTTGGTACTGCTCAGTCCTTCGTCATGAAGTAAATATACTCTCTGGCATATGGCTCCATGTTTCAGAAGGACATTGCAAATGCAAAATTTGCTAATTAATCACCTTCCTTCTCACTTTCCCCCCTCATCCCTGACTTATTTGAATTTAATATATTATGTTTGAAAGTCAAAGTATAAGCATAATAATCCTTTACACTTTACGCGCCCCAGGCAACTGCTGTCTGTCAGGCTAAGTATTTCCTGGTGTGTTATTTTCAGCCTGGGTTATTCTGAGCTTGATTGTTTGTACCCACATTGTCAGGAAACCCTGCAAAATAAACTTGGAAGGAGCAAAGCTAGGTTTAGCTGAGATTTATAGTAACCAAGAAAGGGGCTACGGAGAGGACATTCGATAAATATTACAAAGAATACACAACACGGAAACCAGCTACGCAGCCCAACTCGTTCGTGCCGCTGTTTGTACTTTTTAGACACGTGATTCTTCACCCTTTCCTTTTTATTTTATTATTTTACACAAAATACACATTCAATTCACTTTACAATATACTCCGTGAAGCACTTTGAGACATAACGATGTGATAAGGCGCTATATCAAATGCAAACATTATTATTATTACTCCCTCCCCTACCCTTCTCCCACCTATGAAGATCTAGCTTCCTCTTGAATGCATTTATATTATCTGATTCAACCACCACTTCAGCAGCAAGTTCCCAAACCTCACTACCCTTTGTTTGAAATAGTTTCTGCTAAATTCTCTTTTTGATCCCCTACTCATTATCTTTCATGTGCCCCCTTGGTTATGGACTCCCCAACCAGTTGAAACAACCTATTTATGTTAAACATTTCTTTAGGTCCCCCCTTAAACCTCTCTAGTGAAAAAAAACCTAACCTATCCAATCTGTCCAAAAAGCAGTAATCTGCCAGCCTTGGTATCGTTCTCGTAAACTAAAGTCTTTGCATCACTGCTATATTCTTCTTATCGTGTGGAGACCAGAATTGGACAACATGCTCCAAATGTGACCTAACCAAGTTTTTGTATAAATTCAGCATCACCTCCTCACTTTCATATTCTATATATTTTTATATATAAAGCCCAAGCCCATTGGCCTTTTTTATAGCCTTGTCTACCTGTATAGCTACTTTTAGAGATTTGTGGGTCTGAATCTGCAGATTATTTTACTCCTCTACTCTCAACAACAACAACAACAACTTGCATTTGTATAGCACCTCTCATGCAGGGTAGTGTCCCAGAGCGGGTGACGGTGGCGGAGCATGATGCCGAGCTGGGGGGAGGTGACTGTAGGTATGGTTGAATAGGAAGGTCTTCAGGCATGACCTGAAGATGGGGAAGGAAGGGATAAGGTGGAGGGATAGAGGAAGAGTTTTGGGGTGATTGGCTGAAAGTATGGCCACCAATGGTGGAACGGAGCACACGAGGGACATGCGGAAGGCCGGAGCTAGTCGAGCGGATGCAATGGGTTGGGGGTTGGGTGTAAGCAGGTCGCAGAGGTAGGGAGGTGCCAAGGCACGAAGGGATAGACTATAGATGGC